GAGATTGCACTTGTGTGTTGACAACTTGGATGTGCTCTTGTTTACTTTGATTAGATCAAAATAAAAATATGTGCAGCTAGACCTGTTTTAATCACTCTGAAGATATGCCAAGGCTCTTCCTCTTGGTGTCTGCTTTTCCGAAAGGCTGTTTTATAATGTAAGACTTACTCTTCATGACAAATTTCTCTATTTTAGATTAAAATTGTAAGGTATCTGAATAATTTGTGTATTTTTCACCAGTGTTATGTACCATGGAATTAATATTTAAAAGCTGTGCTCCCCACTCCTCTAGCAGTGCAGCTCTGCATACAGTTCCGTATGCCTTTTCCCTTTCCCTCACCTTGAGGGTTCCTTGGTTTATATCCTCTGTGGCTATATCTCTTACCTTGTAGGGGTAATTCTTGCTTCTGCCTCTGCTCCCTTGCAGCTCAGATGTCTTCTGGTGTTTTCACAGAACCTGTGATCATTCTCTCAAAACTTCATATATAACCATAGCACTTGATTTGTGCTTTCCTGTTTTCTTTGCTGACATTGTCTGCTCCCAAATTCCGTTGGAGTGGTTTCACTGTTACTTAATGTTATTCCAAGAAACCTGCCACTCACCGTAATAGGACTGATCCCTTTCCTCAGTGCTGAACAGTGTGGTGCTGTATTTTTGTGATATACAGTGTTCAGAAATGCTTAACATACAGTTACAGGATTTTAACAGAAGAACAGGGAGGTCTGGTTTGTGAAGATGGGCAGTAGTATTTCCAATTACATTAGCACTGTACTGTTCCAGTTGTTGCAGTCAAATAGGCAGTGGCATTTCAATGTCTGAATCATTCCCTGACTCCAGCCTACAAGTGACTACACCATTCTTTACCTTTATTAGGAAGGTGGGGATTTTGTTTGGTTTTCTTAAGTACTCTGAAATTGCCACCGGAATTATTCAGAAAAATGTATGTTAAGTTTCAGTCTTTCAGAATGAAGTTATGAAAGGATTCCATTACAATTAAATATTGTCTGCTGTTTAAAGAGAGAATTACCTTCTTTCACAAGCCTGAGATGAGTGCAGTCTATCTGTTCCATGCTGTGTCTGCAGCATCAGCAGGCACTCTTAAAGACCTAGGAAATTACAAGGACTTTAGCCAAAAATATCAGCCATTAGAAAAGTACTAACCTTTCTTATGAGCATCTGACTTAGTTCTCTGCAAACCTTGCCTCATCAAATCAAAACAGTTCAGTGCCTCTTACAAGTGGTCCAGCATTTGCTGCACTTGAGATGGGATCTCAGTTTATTTTTCCTTCCCCAGCTGCAAGAAGGTGGTTGAAACATTGCAGCAGTAGCAGCAGTTTGGTGCCAGGTTGCTCATACGCCCAGGAGGAATTGTCTCACCTGCCCTTCTGCCCAAATATTGACCAAACAGCTGCTTGAGCTGTTCACAAACCCAAGGAAAAGAAAAAAAAAATAAAAATCAGCAGTTTGGCAGGCTGCCAGTCCCTGCATCCTCCAAGGGAGGGTGGTTGGATGAAAGGTGTCTGAAGTCTGGTCTTGGTATTGTGGCCATAGTTGTCCATATTTTGAGTTTCAGACAAACAATCGGTAGTCAAGAATCAACAAAACAAACACAAAAGGAAACAATTATTTGCCTGCGATGAGCCTAGTAATTTTTCTTTTGATTACTTTCTACTGACTTTGAAAATGTGCTCTTTTAGAATTGCTAGGAGGTACAGATAGATTAGTGAAAGCTAATGTGTTGTGCTGAAGTGAGAAACTTCTGGATGTTGCTGTTTTTCCAATCTTGTTTTTAGTGTCTTCTCACCTATTAAGTCGTCCTCTCTTCTCTTTTTCCAATGTAATATTGCACAGGTTTAATGGCTAATTGCAACTTCATCCCTTTTCATACATGGAGTTGTATAACTATCCTGATTAAACATGCACATGGTAAAATTGCAAGCTAGAAAGAGCTGTCCGGGCTTGGATGATAGCAATTAAATGATTTATATTTACAGGCATCAATATCTTATGCCTGCTGTCTGTCCTAGCTTGTCATCTATGGTTGACTGTGTGGTTCATTGGCTTTAGTTAGTATTCCAGCTTCTTTTCTCCGGACACTCTGTTCTTGGCTGAGGAGAGTATTGCTTTTCATAAGATTATGTAGTAAGACCATATTCTAACTTCTACAAACACTGTTACTCTTTCTGTATTCACCTGAGGATTTTTCTGCTTAAGTTTCAGAAATGCAAGGTTTCAAGGTGCTTAAAATAAATGAGTCAGTGTCTCCTCCTGCCCCCAATTGTTCTCAAACAGGGAGCTCTTGCTAAAATTATTTAGGGTGATGCCACTGACAAAAATATGGATGAACCAAGTCCCAGTTTCCACTGAGCTTCAGTATGTTAAACAGGCACAATTTATTTTTCTTTTCTGCAGTTCTCCTTGGCTCTCACAGGGTCAGAAGCAGCAGTAGCACTTTGGCTGTTCCCAGTTGAATCATTTGGAATGCAAATCGCTTTGCAGTGATGCCAGAGGTTCCCTTTGTGCTGGGCTTTATATAAAACACATGACAGATTGTCAGCTTTGTCACATTCCGTGGGCAGCAGGGAATAGGTAGAGGCTTCAGCGTTTGATTCAGACAGAACTGGACTACTATCAGATCTTAGTCAGCTTGGCTTTGCAGATAACTGTAAATCATGTTGGAATGCTACATTGAGTGCTTCTGACTGATATTTTAATACTAACATAATTCCTCAGTGCAAATAAATACCTCCTGGGGAGCTTAGCAGAACATGTGCTCTGGGGAGCACAGTCCCCCTGCACCCTTCCCCGCCTTTCTTCACTATCCAAGATAGATATGAAGAACAGAAGTGAGTCCTAGGGAGAATATCAAGCAGTTTAAATTCTCTGTTCTTGATTGATCTTGCACCATCTGAGCTGCAGGGGTTTCAGGTTGCTGGAGCATGTGCTGCATCTACGTACAAAATACAGCAGGAAAGGTGGCTCTTGTCCTGTAAAATTAAGTGCTGCATGTCTGGGCAGGGACTGTCTTCCCAACTGGACAAATAGGAATCTGAGAAGATTTCCTCTGAAAATAAAGCAATCAGTAGAATTTTAATCTGTTCCTGAGATTTCCTGCCTTTGAAATATCTTGGTTAGTTTGCGTGAAACCAAACTCTTATGTCTCGAACTGAAGTGTCTCTGGAGAGCTGGACTAAAGTGGACCTTGTATGAATCTGTGGTATATTAGTGATTAAATAAGTTGTATCCATAAATTGGGTAGGGTTTGGCTTGCTATTCAAAGGTTTTGAATTACTGTGACACTTGTTTCAAAATTATTCAGAAGGAAACACTGAACATTCTTTTCCTACTAAGACCCCTTTTACTAGGACAAGGCATGAATGTCTTTGCCATTTCAATTTTATATAAAGAAAAGTTGAAATTCCTTGAGGAAAACAATTTTGAGTCTATAGGATATTAAATTATTGTGCAAATCTTAATTTCTGAAATTATCAGATTTGATTCTTCTGAGTATTTCTGTCAGCACAATTCGCAACACCAGTGTTAGGGAATTTGCTCTGAAAACCAAGGATAGTGACTGTAAAAGTTATTATTTGGCATGGTGAATGGAAAGAGTGATGAGATAACATTTTAAAATGTTACACAGCTCTATTAAAGCCCCCATTTGGGAAAATGAGTCTCTCACCCTGACTTATTTGCCCTGAGTTTCAAAGATACTGCTCTTTTGGGTCTTCTAAATAGTTTTGTGGATACAGTAACTTACTAAAAATCAGATTTTGATTAAAAGACTTTTAACACAAATACATTGTGTTAAAATAGGTTCTCTCTTCACTGTTGTGCTAGGTTCTCTGTAACTTGAATCCACTCTAAATCCAGAATCTTGGTGCTGAAGTTACTTGCATTATACAGTTCCTCTCTGAAGGAATGTGGAGCAAGCAGATGGAGCAAACAGATGAGCAGACTTTGTAAGCATTTTGAAAATAGGTCTTGAAAGGGGTTTTAGTATAGGAAGCAAATAGATCTGGATGAGTAAGAATGGCACTCATAAGGCTTTTTTCCTGGCTTTGGTTTTCCTATAAACTTTACTTTCTTTGAACTTAGATCAGAATTGCCCTGAGTTCAAGATCTACTTTTTTTTTTATAGGGCCTCTGTTTTTAAAAGATTGCTGCGCTCTCTGCTCTACAGATGATTTTGTTCTTTTTCAGCAAGCTTGTGGTTTGATTCTCTTATTATACTTGTACCAATAATTTTCCCTTTGGGACAGGAGGTAATCTAGAGGCAAGACACTACAAAAACCAGATGGGCTACACATTCAAAATGGAGCTGATGGAGCTGACAGCCTCTTTGCAATCTTATCAAGCGTGTCTTTGTATGGGTGATAAAATCAGCACTCAAACTTCTGCCAAGTGTTTTTCATTTCTCTTCTACTTTGCAGCCAGACTTTCTTGCTTTACTTTCACTTCTCTCTGAAGTGATGTAGGTAGAAGTTTGACTTTGTTGCTGCTGTGCTGGAACTGTGATTTACAGGTCCTTGACAAGCTTAGTGACATATGGAAACCACATAACCATGCAGGGGAACTTGCATAACTCTCGAGCAACTTGTACACATCGCTGTTTATACTAAGACCACTGTAGCCGTATCATTGAACTCATCTTCTAAATGTTTTTCTGTGCACTATCTGTTTAAGTGTTCACAGCTTCAAATCTGGAACAAATGTGGCTTTAAAGCTAGTTCAGACTGGACACAATCATTACAATGTGGGAAGTACTGTATAACCACCAGTAGAGATCTGTTACTGTGTGTGGAGCTGCAGACAGTTTGCATGTTAATGCCCTGGTTTGAAGGACAAGCCATGAGTTGAGTGCCCAGTAGCATGTTCCATGTGCTATAGATGGTTTAGATTAAAATCTCTAAATTGTCAAATGGCTTTGCATTTGGAAAATCTTCTAAGCAGCATGCCATGTTAATTCTAAATGTAAATATTTTTTTTCTTTTTATAGGAACTGGAGACATTGTTGCTGTCATGATTACAGAATCAAAGGTTAAGGAGATCCTGAATTACTTGGAAAAGAATATATCTGTCCTGATGGCAATAGCAGTTGGGTCCCGTGTTCCTCCAAAAAACTTCAGTCGGGGCTCTCTAGTCTTTGTGTCAATATCATTCATTGTTTTGATGATAATTTCTTCAGCATGGTTAATATTTTACTTCATCCAGAAGATCAGGTACACAAGTGCTCGTGACAGGAATCAGGTAAGGAGACTCTTTTTCGTCTAAGTTCTGGAGTTGATATTTCTGTATACATTAGGCAATAGAGAGCAAATAATTTCTAAGGAATGTCCATCAAACTGCTGTTCAGAACACCGTTGTTGCAAGGCAGAGTATGTTGCCAGACAAGGATTTTTATATACCAGTGTTTCATCCTGAGCAGGACCAGTACAAGGTCGTCTTATATGATATGAAAGAATAAACTGAAGCAAAATATTTGGGGTTTGATGAGTATACATTCAAGAGGAAGATAAATTTCAGGTTGGTTGAATAATACATACTGTATGTATGTTGGGAATGGGGAGGAAAGTTAGATTGTGAATCAACTTGTTAGAAATTCTATCCATGTTCTTAAGGATAGCTTCAGTAATAGTGAAGGTAATTCAGAGGTTGTATAAAGATATTTCCAAACTGTAAGCTGTCATGAATGTTAGGGTAAGAAAACTAAGATATAGAACTGCTTAGTGATGTGTGTTAACTTTCAGCTTTATTCAAGATAACACTTGGCAAGGACTGCCTAATTCTCCTGGTCATATACTTTAAGTAAAATTTTGTCCAGTATGCCTGTTTTATATTCATTTTCAAGTCTTGATTTAAGAATTGAATTAAGTATGGCCATACTCAGAGATCTTGACTAAATCAAGTCATCAACTCAAATATGGATTAAACTTTAGAAGTAAATGTTTTACTAGTGTGGACTTAATGACCCACTGCTTCTATAGTGTGCCTTGACTTTTATTGAGAAGGGTCAGTAAACCTCAGGAAATCCACTGTGCTCTCTTTGCCTTTATATCTCTGTCAAGGCTGACTTACAAAGCTGCTGACTCTAGTCCCTGTCCCCCCTTTTCCCACTGAATTACAGCTAATACACAGGAGCTCACGGTGAGGCAGTGCTTTGGTGTTTTGTCAAACCTAAAACAAATGCAAACTTACAAAGCCTCAGTTGTGACAAAGGATTTCCTTTTCAGATTCAATAAATAGTTTCTGATGCTGCAGGTCCCATGGGCATTCTGTAGACTTTCCTAAGGATGTCATTCTTAAATGACCACGCTGTAGCCAGTATTTAGTGTGGTCCCTTGGGATGATGAAAGTTTAAATATAACTGTTACTCAATGAATATCTGTGGAATACTAAATTGTTCCTTCTGCATCCCCTACATGGTTCTAGGCTTCTTCCAAATGTCTTATGTTTCAAAACAGTTGCTCCATGGGGAAAGGGCTCTTATGACCTTTTTTTCTTTCTTTAGATTTTTACAAAGGTCAGGAGAAACTTGATGAAAATTTTATGTGGTTTAAAAAGCTGAGCTTATTAAACTTTAATAAGAAGGTGGCGACAGCTATGGCTTATTTTTAAAGAGCTCTGAGAGCTTTCACAGAGAGAAGGCTGTACTGGTAGTGATGAAATAACTTGTTTTAGGCTATGATCTTGTTTTTAAGTTATGTCGAGGCACACTTTACCAAAAAAAACCCCAAAACATGCTCTGTTTTGTAGATAGTGCAAGTAGATACTGGTATTTCACATCGTTACTCTTGTGCACTTCCTCCAGAGATATGAAACTCTTTGTATGTGGTGGTGGCATTTTTCATCACGACAGTTCTGGGTTTTAAAAGCAAGCAGATGCTGTATGCCTATGCCCTAAATTACCAAAACAGCAAATCCCGAGCATTTCAAATGTTAACATTGAAAAGTATTTATTAAAATCAGAAAATGGAAGAGATGGATGTCTCAGAAGAGATGAAAGTTATTGTTTAGCAAATTTATTTGCATAAGAGAACTTGCATACGTTTTGGAAGACTTTTGCTGAAGTACTGTGCTTCCAATAGGAAAATAACACTAAAGATTTCTTGTAGCACATATACAATCATGTGCAGTACAACTAAAATACTACCCACAATTACTTTGTTTTTAGTGTTGAACACTTAAATGCCTTTTCAGCCTTGTTCCTCTCTTAGTAATCACACTTTTGGTTATGCAATGATTATCTACTCCAGCAGTGTGCTAGTGTGTTCTGAGTTGTTAAGTACTCAAGCTAATATGTGTGTTCCAGGTCATGTAATTTAGATTTCCATAAATTGACCAGTTTCTCACATGTTGGAAATTAGGTTGAGATTCCTGACTTCAGGAAGCATATAATTTCCCTATCCAAGATCTGTTTCTGATGCTGCATTTCCTATGTCAGTATACTTCCAGTAGTTGCGACTGGGTAACTAGTTTGGTGGGGTTTTTTTCAAATCTGTGCTCTAAAAAATGTAAGAGCTGCTGTTCTGTGGAAACCACAAAAAAAGTGCATATGTAATTCTAGGATAATGTTGGTACAGTTGGTTGTGGTGGACTTCTGTGCTCTTTGTCTCAAAAGCAGCCTTTGTATGCAGATCAAGTGTATGGTACAGGGGGGCTACACCTTCTGAAGGATTTAATTTTTTCAACTGTACAGAAGGTGGGCACAAACCCCACAGATTTGTTTCAAGCTATACGGGAGGTTTTGGTAGGTGCAGGTTACATTCTCAGAAACAGCCCTCTCCTTCAAAGGTAGAGTACTTAGTACAAGATGGAGATGAAGGATGAACTCCCCTTTTTCCAGTCAATGTAAACAAAATCTGATGTCTCAGGTTCCTGAAATAAGGAGACGTGAGCTTTGTTCCGCTTGGTGCCTGGTCTCTGGGATTCCACAGACAGCTGGCAAGCAGCCATTCTCCTCCGCTGGCTGGGAACTGAGCATTGCAGCAGAATCAGGACTTGAATTGCCAAAGTGGCTCCTTCCATCCAACAGTGGTGGTCATAAAAACAGCATAAACAACAAAAAAATGGCTTGGCCTCTGCATTCAGATTGAGGTTCATCTTCAAACTAATGTTTATTTCAGCTTTATTTAAGTCTGTATTGGCTTATTTAGATTTCATGACCCATCATTTTCCTCTTTGAGATCCTGGTGGTTTGAGGTAATAGCAAAAGAGAAACTAGGTTACACTGAGAGGATCTCTTACATCTCAGAATAAGATCAGCCCTGCTCGGGGGGAAAAAAAACCTTCAAGCTTAAGATCTGAATAAAAAGCAATATGAACAGAATATAATGGAAATCATTGGGAGGGCATGTTGCTTCAGCTTTTATTCTGTGGGCTGGGTTTGATTTAGCTTTGTCACGCAAACATGGATCACTTTTGTGGGCTTTTATAGGGTCCATGACATTTATGCCCATGCTTACAGAGCACATTGTGGGCTCAACTGTTGGGTTTTTTCTTTCTGGCAAATCTGTGAGCTTTGTGTATGCTTTTTGTCTTGTGTTGGCCTACTGCCATAGTGTGTGTTGCAATGTTAGTATTGAGCCCAAATAAGTCATTATAAAGAACAGTAATGAAGCTTCATTATCAGGGTTAATTTGTGTTCCTTTCTTTGTCACTTCATTAGCGTCGTCTTGGAGATGCTGCCAAGAAAGCCATTGGTAAATTGACAACCAGGACAGTAAAGAAGGGTGATAAGGTATAATAATAATATTTCAGTGTGGTAAATTTGAGCATGATGTTCAATTCTTGCTGGGGGAAACAATCACAGTTTTTCCTTTCTGCTTCTGATTTATGACCTTGCCTTCCTTGTTGGAGACTTACTTTGTCCTACGGCACAGTATTTTGTGTAATTTTTAGTATTGTTGTATGCTGTAAGTGTGTACATTTCAAAGACGTTTTTCTTCTTTAAATACTACTTGCACTCCATCTGGCAACTAGGAGTGAGAGTGGTTTTGTGTGCTAACTGGCTGGGGGGTTTTGCTGGTAGGAGTACATAGGGCTAGCATTGTTTATGTGGAATTCTGTAAGCTTTGAATCATTGCATATGTAAGTTGTGTAAAGTAAAAATAAATTTAAAAGACAGGCAATAAAGGACAATCTCTTATGTAAAATCAAATATCCAATAATTGTGGGGGAGTATAAGCAGGTATTTCATTAAAGATAGTGAATGTTACTCCAGAACTATTTCTTGCCAGTATACAAACTAAAATATATGGTGTGTTGTACTAAACTTTTTCCACTTTTATGAGCAGTACTGCTTTGTCTTTGATTCTGAAAGGAAAAAACAGTCACTTAATCTTGCTTAATTTTTGCTCTTTAATTTGCAGAAGGCAAGGGAATTCTGGCTATGATTTGATTTTTAAGAGATTATTTCCTTGGGCCTTTTTAGTGTGATTCCTTTTTATCTTTCTTATCAACACTATCAGCAGTGGAAGATTAGTAAGTGATGGAAAAATTTGCTTTCAGAGAGAAGGCAGAAAAAATGTCTTTCTGCTCTTTTTCCCTCCCTGTGTAGTTTTATTTCAAGACAGCCCACTGCACTAAATCTTTTGTGGGTATGGGAGTATATATAGACAATGGAAACTTTTCCATATTAAGAAAAAAGATGCTGTCATTTTGACAGCATAAATTCAAAACTGGCAAGTGACGTGTAGGTTGCAGTACAGACAGCAAGAGGTGCAGGTGACCAGAGTAGGAGAAAGCCTGTCCTTCATCAGAGCAGCCCATGGGGATTCTCTGCATGCAGCACTGACTGGTGCTGACCAGGAGTGGCTGTTGTCTTGCTGTGGTTCCTGTCTCAGTGTCTTCCTAGTAACTTGCTGGCATCAAAAAGAATCATAAACTTGAGCTAAGAGAAGGCGCAGTCTGTTCTGCTTCACAGGCCCAAACATTTTAAATGTATATTGCTGATGCCATATCTACATCCAAATGGAAGTCAGCCCTTCTTCATTAGAAATTTTTAATTCTCGTGTTTAAAAAAAACAAAATAATTTCTAAAAATCATAACTTCTGGAAGACAAAGAAGGGAGCCAGTCCGTTAGTGATCCTCATCTTCATGTCTGGATAAGAATGATGATAATTCTGCAAGTAAACAGCAGACAAAAATATGAGACTCTGAAATAAGTAAAATTTGCTAGTTCTAGTTATAAAAGGGAATCCCAGGATTCTTATGCTGCCAAAAAAATCCCAAACCTGAATAAAATAGAACTTTTAGCTCCAAGCTGAAGTGAAGCCTATATGGAAACAGTCACTATATTTTGTAGTGATTCAGCTTGAATATTAGAATCATCTTAGGCCTTAGCTAATGTTTCATATGATCATTTATTAGCTCCAAATGGAGAGTTTTGGATGGATGAGGTGCCTTTCTCAAGTCAGGTTGGAACATAACCCAGTCATTGGTTTTGTATCTTTTTAGTAACAGCCACTTGGCACGATGCAATTCATATACTAGTCACAACTACTTTTACATTTGTCATAGCCTCAACTCTTGACTTGAATTTTCATTCTATTCATTTTAGGAAACAGACCCAGACTTTGATCATTGTGCTGTCTGCATTGAGAGTTACAAGCAGAACGATGTTGTTCGCATTTTACCATGCAAGTAAGCTAGTAAAGTTGCTTTGTTTGGAAACTATTCTTTGTGCTTCTTTGCTTCATTTTGGTAATATGTGCATTGTAATTTACAGACACATTTGTTAGATGTTTCCAGTCCTAATAACAGCCGCTTTATTTTACACTATGATGCCAGGAGGTGTAAAGGTGGGTGATGTCACTGTTATGCTGGTAGCGATGAAACAAAAGATTACGATCTTGAAGATGGGCAGTTTGGGCACATCAGCAGTGAAGCTATTAAGGGTGAGGGTGGTGCAGATTTAAGGACTGAGCAGTAGGCAGGCTGCAGCATTCTGCACTGTAGATGAGCAACATTGGCTGCTGGTTTCTGAAGCAGTGTAGGAAACAGAAATGCAGTCTTTCCAACCTTCATACCTCCTCTGACATCAATCAGCCACGGTGCTATCATCTGTCTTTGGTCTCTCCAGTGCAGTCTGTTCTTGGCTTGTGCCTGAAGATTCGTACCTGCTGGATATTCTGCATTGGTTCTTAAAATGTAATAATTTCTCCTTTTATGCCATTCTCTTGACATTTACAGGTTTTCAGTTTGTTTCCATTCCACTTCCATTCATGAGTTGTTTTGGGATATTTGCTCTTTGAGAGATGCTTTTAAGTAATTTTCTACCCGGTGATTGATTTTGATGAATCGGTATGTTTTGGTAGACTTAAGCATTACCAAGGACATCTTTCCCTTGTATTCTGAAATGCAAAGCTTTCTCCTTAACTCCAGACACAAAAACCACATGTAAGTTATGTTGTATATATACAGCAAAGATCCAGTAATTTGGCCTGTGCTTGATGTACAAATAGTGTTCTGCATGGTGCTCTAGAAGCAACAAAGTCATGGTATTGGAGTTGATCTTCAGCCATGCAGCAGCAGCACATAAGAGCTCATTATTGGTCTTCTAAATCCTCCTGTAGGCCGTTCTGAATAGCAGGAATATTTTTCTTCTAATGCATAATGAATTTCTATCATCATAAAAGGAAAACAGTATTTTATATCTTATTGATCAAAATATGTGTGCATTCTGCTTCTGAAGCCAGAAGTTAGTTGAGTTTACTTTTCTCTATGTTCTTTACCTCTTGGACTGTGGAAAACAATGACCTGGTTTAGGTCATTCTCAGTGTTGTTGCTTAGTTAATATACCATTCAAATGTTTGTTTAGAAACTTCCATTAAAATACTTGGGAATAGAAGAGCTTAGTCTTAGATCTGTACAATTTGGGACCTTTCGGTCATGTGGATGCATGTACATTTCTTTTTTATATTTGGTCATTTTTACTCAAAGATGATGTTCTTTTGCCCCCAAAATGCACTCCCAAGTGTTAAAGATTCCAGGGAGTTATGTCCTGTATTGTAATCCCAAATAAAGTTTGCATATGTGAATTAAGCCCTAGTCTGATTTGTTGTGTGGAAAATTATTTGGAAATTAGCAGAGGAATTTCTGGAAACTGCACACCAGTTTTGGACCGCTGAGATTGTTTGATAAACGCCTCTTAAGAAAGCTTCACTTGTGTAGTTTGGGGTGGTACTGTGAGGCTCAAGGATGTGGAATGGAGGTTCACAAGTCCTATTCCTCTGTGCCTTTTCTCTTGATACTGCCAGTGAAGAGAGAATGAGTCTTCATCTGGTAGGAAAGCATCTTCTCCCACTAAGCACAAGGCAGAGAAAGCAGAGTTGGGACTAATAGTCAACTTCCTTAGTTAAACAACTGCCACTGTCCAAGCAATGGATGTGTTGCTAGTATCAGCAGATACAATACAATTTAATCAAGAGGATGATTAACTATTTTTTTTATTTCGGAAAAACTAAAGTTCATTTCCTTCAGACACCTTTGGTGAGTCACAGTCCTGCAGACAGGCAGCTCCCTGCTCTCAGGGATAGAGCTGCTTCAGAGAGATGGGTGAAGGTGCACCTGGCTGCTGTCCCAGCACAGCGTCCCCCAGCGCAATCTCCCATGTAAAGGAGATATCAGGGCTCTTGTGTAGGTCCTTTTCGGTTCTGTTTTTCGCAAGAATGTAATGTCAGTGAAGGCTCAGATTACATTCCTGCCGAAGGCTGTATGACAACTTTTATGTTCACTTTCTTGTTTTAAATCTCACTTTTCATCTGCTGCAGCTCAGCTTTGAGTTGAGTGCAAAACCATCTTGGCTAGATGGAAACATTGAGATGGATACTTTCCACAAGACATTTTTATATTTATAGATGAAGAGCCAACCAGTACCTGCAGAGACGAGCCCAATAGATTTCAGATGGCATCTAAGACTTTTCATTCTTCAGCATCTGAGATGCTTCTCCCCAAATCTTGTTTTGGAGATTCAATCCCCTCCTACTTCATCATACTTCAACCTCTCACCTTAATGCAACATGCAAAGTTAGCTTTAAAAAAAAAAACAAAACAAAACAAAAACAAAAAAAAAAACCAAAAAAACCAACACATACACAAAAAAATCCTGCAAGAGAGTCTCTAAAGCCAGATGAGAAAATAAATTACAAGAAAACCATGGAAAAAATGGCTCAACCAAGAGGAAGTAAATGAAAGGCTAAAAGTTTTTCTTACTGTGCTTGTTGAGGAAGCTATAATCATTAGACACCAGGAATCACTGTCATATGACATACTTGCTGCTTTCATCAATTTAAAAGTAATATTTCACTTTGGTACCACAGTTGTTCTCTGCAGTTAATTGTGGTCTGTCACTGTGCCTCAGCAGAGAGGAGTCTGGTCTGGGCAGACTCACAGCAGGCAAAACTTTCCAGCAGCTGAGCAAGCTGCACCTAAAGTTCTGTAGTGAAACACCATTTGTGATGTAAGGTTTTGTGGCAGGTGGGAAATTGTGGCCAATTTAAAAATAAACCAAAGTGAGAATGATTGCAAACAGTGCAGTTGAATTTCTACCATTAATTTTGTGCTTCAGAGAGAAATATGTTCACTACCAGCAGCCTATGGACATACCTGTAGCCTTTGGTGCACACAGGGATAAGGCAGCCATCTGTCAGGCTCACAAGCCTGAGGAACGTCTCTGTCTTTGTGAATATCATTATGTAAGTTAAAAATGAGTAAGTAAATGTCAGAAAGATTCTCATGGACAATTTTCTTTATTCAGATAGTTTTACTCTACCTTCCCACTGGTACATCTGGGAGATGAACAGGCACTAGGTGAAAAGTGATCAGGAGAGGGTAGTGTGAAGGACTAGTGAGAGATAAGGGAAGGAGAGAGCAAAGTGACAGGTTACAGAAAAGCAGAGAGTAATGTTGTAAAGGGCAGAGGATGGTCTGGGAAGGAAGGAATTTACAAGGTAGGAAAAGAATTAGGGTAGTGAATATGTTAAAATAAATGGCTTTTGAGCCAAATTCTTAATTCCTGTACCGGGCAAGAAAGTAGAAGTGACTAAGCCAGATTTTCATCTGTTTGATTCTGTGTGGCTGCAAATAGCTGCCTTTTTTTTTTTTTCTAAAGAGCAAATTAACATCATCTCTCAATGCCACCCTTTCTGCTTACGGCAATGTCTCTGCACAACTCCCTTTTTCTCTGCTACCTGCTTGCAAGGGCAGTCTCTTTTCCCTCAGCAATGCTATTGTATTTATGGGAAGCACTGAGGCTGCTCTCCCCTGGCATTGCCTGCCACGGGGGAGATGTGGTGCCTTCCTTCTCACCGCAGCAGGCCAGACATCTCCTCAGCTGTGCTAGCTGTAATGGGCTGCCTGCAGCAGGGCAGGAAGGACCTGAGTGCCCCTCACCAGCCAGGGAGGTTTGTACCCCAGGGCAAGGGGAGCAGCTACTGCCAGCAGGAGCCAGATTGATCAGATCCCTTTGGTGGGATGCTGCACTGAGCAGAGAAGTGTAGTAAGCTCTTGGGAAATAGCACTTATAAACTTGTTCAAACCCTTCTTCTTGTGTGACATGTAAATTCAGAGACATTACACCACCAAAAGAGATTTCTAACTCACTTTTTCTCTGAAATGCTGCAAAGAAGCTGTGTTGTACAATGGAGTCTGTGTTATGGTGTTTATTACAAGCTGGAGGGCAACTGGCTTGGGTATGCTGACAGAGTGGAAAAATACCTGCAGGTCACCTGTTTGGAGCTATGCCCGCATGGGAGACTCCTTCAGTGCTACCAGCCTGGCTGCTGGCCACGCTTCTTACAGCCCCAAGGCTGGAGAATCAGCGAAAGCTGTGTCACACTAGACTCCCCAGTGTGGCTCCTGGAGGAACGTCATCAGCCACCATGACCTAGAGCAACTCACTAGGAACTCTTCATGTTTATGGTCTTGAAAAACAAGTGACAGAAATATGAAGATGGAGAAGGTTTGTGACAGCAGAAAATGCAAGGGCTGGCTTTGTCAGACTGAGTTTTAAAAATAATTCATGTGTTTATTATTTTCATTGCTGTATAACTGCTTTTTAACTCTTGCAAGCAGAGAAATCAAGACAGCTGAACCATGGTGATGGTATCAGCAAGCTTTTAAAGGAGTAGATAAACTGCATAAGTAGTAGGCAAAGCCATGCTGATTTAAATCAATAAATAACCTTTGGAGAACTGCATCTTTTTGAAATACATTAATAAACATCCTTGAAGGTTTAGGAACTAAAAGCAAAGAATTAAGAGGTCACAAAAATAGTTGAGCTGTTTGGTGCCTTCAAACTATATCAAACTGCTAATGACTCTTTAAAATAACTCACAATATTTAGCAGATTGGCATCCATATCAGTTGCCTGCTTCACTTGATCTGAGTGCTTCTACAGCACTGATTAGCCGATAACAATATATTAGAGCTGTTTTCATGCTTCTGTGGAGTCTTGATGTCTGCTGTTTTCCAAAATATTAGATTTTCAGGTTTGTCCTACTCAAAAAGAAAAAAACAAAACTTCAGACACTAAAAAGGAAACATAAGCAGCTAAAAGCCGTGATTTGCCTAACATAGAAAAATAGCATCTCTATTTGTTTCAGAAGATGTAAAACCATTTTCTATCATCCACGATTTCTAAACATTGTTTCCTGTAGTTTTGTGAGTAATAAAGGGAATAAGTTAAGACCTAATAACAGTAGAAGTGAGTCTGTGTTTTGTGCAATTATTTGAACAGTAAGCAATGTCTATATATCCTGTTTTTCATGATTACTGTATTGCTACAGGACACAGGCCAGCAAAGTGACTAGCTGAGTTTCTGTAAGTTTCTGTTCCTGCAATATCTGGGATGTAGATAAGCAAAATTTTTCTGCTCCCTGTCCATCTTCTGTTGACTACATTATACTTTTTAAGTCTATGCATCTTTAGTACAGGTAGGATATATAGTTGTAGCTCTGGCTTGGAACCTAATTATGTTTATATATTTCAGTCTATCCATCAATCTTAGTAGCCATAGACAAAACATAATTATATACTGTCTCTTTCCATGTTTATTAACAATTTCAGGAGGTCTTCTGTGTCGCTTTCCTTAAAAGAGTATTATCTTGTAATGTGCATCATTTTGTGTCTGGCTTTAAAATCCCAAGGGATGGGGAGCACAGAAATCCCAGACCTCACAATGAGCGTACTGAGGCATAGAGCACCAAGGATAACCTGAGAAAGGAGAGGACAAATAGTATCTCAACTTTATGCTGCCTTGGGGTCATGGATGACCTCTTACAGACCATGCGGATGCCTCAAATAGATCCAAGAACTCCTTGTTCTGCCACTGCCCCTTTGCCTGCTGGTTTCAGCGCACAGCTCTTCGCTGGCTAAGCAGCCCTTGTAATTGCTGATCTTTGTCATGATCACCAGTCTGTTGTGTTCAGGTGTGCCTGTTCTTACTGGCTTCTTGCTCTGCAGTCAGTGCCACTGGAAATGAACAATCTGGCTTCTTACCACAGGCAGTTATTCAGACTCAGTTATTATGAGGTTTTGCTAAAGCTGTATTGTGTAGAAAATCTAGTGATCCCGATTTCTGCCATGAATATGCTCTGAAAAGTTCTTTGCCTTTTGAAAAGCCAAGAGGACATTTCCTTTAATTTAGAAACGTTGTTTTGATCTCTGTGTAGTCTATCCTTGCTATAGTGGCTTGTATCAGTCCTAACACTGTTACATTTATATTCATGTTTGTGACTAAGGTTTTTGTATGCAATGTAGGTGGCAATTCAGACTGCTTTCTATTGCAGAGAGCGATTTGCTTTTTCATCTTTAAAAGATTTTTTTTTCTATGACCATCTATGATGGACATGTTTTTCTTCCTGATACCAGGAAATAATGGTTGTAGGAAAAACCTTCTTTTTCCCTAGATGTGATAATTATAAAAGCCCTTTCAAAATCAGACGTGTGTGTTTGGGTTGGTTGCACTGACTTTTGAATAAAATCAGCTGCTGGTGGACCTGTGTTCTTCCTAACCACTTTATGGCCAGGTTCTACATAGAAATTGAGACAAGACTTTATACAAAGTTATGGTGGGGACTTTACCATAGTTATTCTGCCCATGTGCATACTCACATCCACAATAAGGGGGGGGAAGAAAAGTCTTCTTTTTAAGTTTTTCTTCTAGCTGAACTATTAGTAAAGGGTGGCAACAATAAGTAAGAGTTACTGATTTTTTTTTTCTTACTGCCATCAGCACAAAATATTGGCGATTCTAGAAGTTGTTCTGCTGTCTTAATTTTAAAAGAAACTATTGAAAAGTTTGTTAAAGTAGTTCTTGCGGTGTACAATAGAATTGTTTACAAATTATATATGTGCCTTGTCTGTTCTAGGCACGTTTTTCACAAAGCCTGTGTGGATCCATGGCTTAGCGAGCACTGTACGTGTCCAATGTGTAAACTGAACATTTTGAAGGCACTGGGAATTGTGGTAAGTTGCTCTGTTGTGAGCTCTTCTTCCTCTCATTTCTGAGACACAGGAGGAATAACTGTAGGCGAGAAAGGGGAAAGGCTGTTCCAGTACCCTTATTCTGAAAGTGTTTGATGTTTTTTACCAATTTCTTTGCTGCTGGTAAAGCTGATTTGGTGGTGTTGTTCCTTTCCCTGGTTAGTCATTGAGAATATATTATTATATTTGCATTTATACCAATTTCTTACGTACTGTAAGTCTACTAGGTTCTGTATCATCTTCCCTTTTCTTAACTTATTTATTCCAACCCCTTTTTGTTAAATTTACTCTGTAAATCTCTAGTTCTTGTTGTGGTCTCCCGGAGACACTCTTAAAATTGTTTACACGTTAGAAGTCATGCCCTAGCCAAAGCCAGTAAGTTTTCCTCAAGCAGCTCATAGTTTATGGGATCCCTCAGGACTGCTTTTGTTGACCAGTTCACAAAGGGATAGAAGTAAAGAACCTCAAAGAGGATTTTTTTCATCTTTCCCTTATGAGGAAAAAATTATAAAGTGTGAGGAGTGCTCTTTTCAGAAGAAAGAAATAATGAAGAAAGAGAAGAGCATATGAAGATACTGTCTAAAGCAGCTTTTGAATCAAGCCAGTGAGAATAATCAGGCCTCCATTTTTAGCTGTGTCAGTTGCAAATTTGCACAATTTATAAGAAATAGTTGCAGATATATTGTTGTGGATGACCTGGTTTTGCAATTAATATCATGCCTGGATTTTTAGAGGAGGATACGGTAGAATTGAATGCATATTGTCATTGCTTACAGTGGTAAGCCATGTGTAGGCATAGGCCTATACAAGCACATTTGCGTCCCTTTCTTGACTCTTAATGCTTTTTCCTCCAGCTTTTTAGGGTGGACTCAAGGAGTAACTTTGAATGGAACTTGGTAGTTCATGTGTTTCTCTTCTGTGTGATCTAAGGAGAGCCATAGCAGTGTGTATGTGTGTTTTTACTCAATTTATAGATTTCTACACGTAGAATATTCACCTTTGCAATATGGAATTGCTTCTTTTTCCAGCCAAACGTGCCATGTACAGATAATGTAGCCTTTGACATGGAAAGGCTCACCAGAGGCCAGCCAGCGAGCAGGCGGTCAGCACTCGGTGATTTTGCCAATGACAGCTCTCTCAGCCTGGAGCCCCTGCGCACCTCTGGGATGTCACAGCTTCCACAGGATGGAGAGCTAACGCCAAGGTCAGGAGAGATCAACATTGCTGTGACAAGTAAGTTTTCTTTGGCTTCCATACCGTTCTATGGTTTTCCTGGTCTGTGGCACTTGATCTGTAGCTCTGTGCTGCAGGGCCATGGTGAAAGATTTCCCTGCAGGGACAGAGGTGACCTCAGTGTCTCTGCAAGAGGAATACACTCCATATTCAAACCAATAACTCTAGGTACGACAGTGCCAACACTTTCATTATTAATGGTACATCCATTTCGATCTGCATGCAAAGAACACTGGATGAACTGAAATGGCAATGAAATAACTCTCCTGAGTTTGGTAACCAGCAGGAGAAGCTGGATTGCCAAAACCATTATTTACCCTTTCAGAATACTGTACATGCAATAATTTATACAAATATAAATATTTTAGCTGATTACTATTTCTGCAGTCATTTTTTCCCCCTGAGAACATTACTACTGGAGTTTTCATGTCTCTTAGCAGATGGTTTTTCTTGCAAAAATTTGAATTAACAATATTGGATGTACCAACATTTGATTATTGTTCAGGTGTTTTATGACATCAGAAAACTGTTCCTGCACTGATTGCAAGCTCTTCTCCATAAGAACAGCATGGGAAATTTCCACTCACTGGATTTTACCTAGGGTTTTTAATGTATAATAGCACTGTAATGAATACAAAATGTGTGGAATTGCATCATTTTTTCCATATGCTGTACAGTCTCAATTTGATGCATGAATGGTTGTTTATCTGGCTGAATTGCAAAAATAGAATCTATGTGGTACAACAGTAAAATTTTCTCCTTGTATTTTGCCTATGTACATCTATGATCTACATTTTGAACTTACTGTTTGCTACTGATATGAGGCAGTGTAACTGATGCAGTCCATTAGAGTGTTTCTTTAGATACTGTAGCAAAGTAAATGTCTTATTAAAAAAATCTTATCTTCTGAAACACATAGTCTGTATCCAGGATTCCTGAGAAGGAAAAATCCACATCCAAAATCTAGATTCTTTACAAAGCCAGTAAATCACTTTGCCATGCAGTGTTCGACATCTGATTCATCTTATATTCAGCTCTGTTGAACAGAGGGCAAATCTGTTGGTGTGCTGCTTTCCTTGTCATGGGTGGGAAAACTCTGTTGTTTGACTGAAACTTTTCACTACTTGGTTTTACAGAAGGTATTTTTTCTGTCTGTTCCCAACTGTAGTACTGCTCTTGCACAGATGGGATGCGAGGGTAAAACAAGAAATAATCAGCAACAGTTCATTCTGACAGTGTTTATAAAATAAAGCTTTAGAAAAGGCTGTTCAAATGTTTGGATTTTATGGATGACACATGTGTTCTTTGATGCATGAGAGTTAAACCAAAAGTGTTTGTATTCCCAACTATTACTATGTGCCACATTGATCTTGACGAGGGAGAACTTTGAATAATGAACATTCTTTAATAGCCTTCTTTATACTACTTTTTTGATTGTGTCTGTATGTATATACTAATGTTGAAATTATTTTTCCATGTTTTACTCCTGTCTATTGAATGGAAAAGTTATGTTTTACTGTTGAACAAGCTATCCTATTTTTGTTTTTTTTAAAGTAACACTAGCATTTATTCAGGAGGGAGGGGGCGAAGACACAAGTTAAGTGTGAAAGTATATTGGGTATGCTTATGTGAAGAGCTGCATCTCAGCAAATGTAAACCAACACTGACAATCTTTTTTCTGACTTGGGGGTGGACAGAGTTTTCATTACATTTTTTCCCTTGTTCCTGCATCTCACTTTACATTGTTAAGTAATCTTTCCTTATCACTAACCCTTGGTCTCAGCCAGGAAATATTGTTGTGCCATGCTTTTTTCCACACCTCTCTCCACTTCTTCTTTGCTAGCCTTCTCCAGTCAGTAACTCTGTGGCTAACCTTCTGCTTCACCTCCTGGTGCCAGTCATGGCTTAGAAGCCTCTTGCCTTCCGCCAGTGGTGTTTGAGGGAAATATTGGCATCGCTTTGACATAAGCCTTCTCCCACGAGTGATTTCCTCCCTTTCCTTTGTCAACAGAAGAATGGTTTATTATTGCCAGTTTTGGCCTCCTCAGTGCCCTTACACTCTGCTACATGATCATCAAAGCCACAGCTAGCTTGAATGCTAATGAGTAAGTAAATGTTTGGATGTTTCCATATATTTCTGGTGGGTGTGTGGTGTGGACAACATTGGGAACAAATACCAGGAGAATAGAGAAGGGGGAAAATGCAGATTTCAAAGAATCAAATGTCTTTTCTGCTCTTCTCAAATGTAAATCTCTCTTAACAGTAGGTTCCAGAGTAACATTTAAACTCCCTCTTAATTTATATTTAGCTTGATTGTCCAAGGAAATCTTCTTGCTAAGTGGAGACATGGAATGGGGAAAAGAGAGGATATTTATATTCAGGTTTTGATCAATGGTCTAGGTAAACATTAGATTTCTGCCATTAAAGCCACATGTTCAAAATTTGCCCGGCAGAGCCAAAAATAACTGCAGTCCTTTACCTTTTATAGTTTTCACCTCAATTTTGTAGTCAAATTTCAAATTTTTTTAAAAAATAAAAAACTGTATTCCTAGATGGCACAGTTTCAGCTAAGAAGAAAGGTATTTAAATAGAAAACTTACCTTTTTGCTCTTAAGAGAGGGAGAGCTGAAAACAAGGAGTAATACTACTGTTTCTTCTCTCTCAAGAGAGCAGAGCAGCCTCCTAACCTCTCACTTTAGTATGCTTAAGAATTGCAATCAAAGGAGTGCTTAAAGACATCCACGCTTTCCTAATTTTTAGACACCCCCAGTGCCTCCCTTCAGGCAGGCTGGACAAGAAATGGCTCTAGCATGTGACTTTCAGTCTTTTTTTATAGCTCTGTGTGTGGGCAAGTATAAATCTGTTCTGCAGATACATTAACTAGGTACATCTAGCTATTTTCATTTAGGAGTATGGAACATCTGGGCTCATGATATATATTTAATCATTTATTTATTTGGGAAGGGGAAGTGGCAACATCTTTCTTTGTCTCTGAATGTCTTGATGCAGCTGAGTTTCCATTAATATGTTGATCTTATCAAAATTGGGGTGAGAATCAAAGGTAGTCAGTCTCCTGTGCAGCCTGGAAATGTAGTTTTATAAACATGATTTCTTTTTTTTTTTTTCCTTTTTTTGAGAGAGAGAGGAAAAATAAGTGCTTTTTTTTTACTTCTGTTGCTGTCTGGAAGGTATAAGGTGTCTTTCTCAGTAAGATGGAAACATGTCTAATAGTGTCCAGTGTAAAATTATAGGCAGTCTGAAGCTAATCTTCTTCAGGAGAGGCCATAATAAGTTCTTAAAGGTTTTGGTCACCAGGGACCTTTGATTTACCACTAATTTGCAAATCTTCCTTTCCTCCTCTTTTCAGATGCTAATTCCAAAAAGGCTTAATGGAGAAAAGTTTTAGAACTTCAAATAGCCCTATCAAATTTCCTGATTTTTTTTTTCTTTTTTTCATTTGTCAGAACTTCGAAACTGCAACTATCAGTCAGGAACTTGGCAGCATAGCTGTATCTGAACATAGTTAATCTGCACTGAAAAGTAGCTTGGGGGAGAGCATGAAGGAAGATGAGCTGTGAAACGGGAATGTCTGCATTTCTGGGTATTGCCACATCATTGGGAAGAAGACAAAGGCACTGTAGCCCCGTGTAGTATCATCCAGATGTGGGCACTGATAGCAGTTGCATTTCTGCCTTGCCTTGCAACTCTTCATTTTGTTGTCTTTTGCTCTGTCAGATCTGAGTCTATTTTTACTGGAAGGGCAAGTTTATTCACATTGGCAGAGTTAGTAGGGCCTCCAGCGAAGTGTTTTCACAGTGATGTTCCCTTGGTACAAACAAAGGGCATGCTGATGTAGGGAGAGCTCCTTTCCCCGGTGATAGGAATGAAAATGCAAGCATATACAAGTGTATACTTCGAGGCAGACTTAAAACTAGCAACCACAGAAACCAGAGCTGTCAAAAATCACTTATTTATGTAACAGAGGTATCTACCTGTAGCCTTTAACCTCAGCAGCTTTTTGACTGAATCCCTTGGGATCTAAGCAGCCTCCACAAGTCCTGCGAGGTTGGGCTACTCATTTTAGACATTTTCTAAATGTCTGTGTATGAGACTAATACTTAGATTTGGTGTTTCACTGACATCTTATGTTCCCCAGTGCCAGACAAAGCATTTCCTGTGCTAAATACGACACCAGATACATGGCACCTCCCTCTCACTGCAATTTCCCATAAATGTCAAGAGCATACCTGCTTTTTATGCTGTTCTCCATATAAAAAGCAATGCTGGCACACTCTACACGTGTTACGGTGGTGTTTCAAGGGGAAGCTGAGGGGTTTTTGTTATCAGAAAACAATAGTAGTAAGAATGAGGCCATGTAATATGCTGATGCAAGTAAAAGTTGCCAAATATTCTACATTAAAACTCACCTTAAAACATGTCCTGTTCTTTTTTTTTTTCATGTCCTTCCCACAGCTTAAACATATTTTAGAGCAGTAGTTCTGGAGTTATGTATATCTACCTATCTAACTGTGTATATATATGTTTATGTGTGTGTATATTATATATACACACACACACATATTTTTAAATAGTTCCTGATAAAAGTAAACACTGTCTAAGAGATAAGGAACCAAGCTGCTTTCTTTTGGTCTTAGAATGAATATTCGTGCACTATTGCTATTAAATGATTTAGGTAGTGAGTTAAAGGAACTGAAGAAAGCACATCTTGCTTTGCTTCTTAGGGAACGGTCAGAAATTACTCTATAACTCTGTTCTAAAATCCAGAAGGCCCAGATGTTGTATAGCACCACTTAGAGAAAGTTTTCAGCAGCAGATGGAGTTTCCTCAAAAGTTTAGAAGTGTTCAAACCTCTGGCTGTCCTCTCTGTTTTACTGGTCCTGTAAGAATGATGTAAGGAGTACAGACCTCTTTTCATGCTCTGGTGTTGTATAATTAGTCATTTCTTGCTAACTTGCTTTCACAGGATTTTTTTTTTTTCC